TTTTTTTCTTTGCCAACTGAAAAGACAATGGCTGAAATACTTTATTTTTGATGAACTGAAAGTTTAGAAAGGTTGAATAGTTGTATACATTAACATATGTAGAGTAATGCATAAGGCCCTAAACTAGATGTTGGGTAATACCAGGCTCTAGCACCTTGTGCTTCAGTGATGTTAGCCTCCATCAGTTACCTGACTCTCTGACTTCACATAGAGTTCCCTTGCCTAGTGTACCATTCTTCCTCCCCTCCCCACCATCTTCCTCTTAACCTCTATGTGGTTTAGGACACCACTATGCTTGCTTTTTGGCTAACATGATAACACTGATTCTGAGAAAGTGGTCTCAAAGACTTCAATTAATGACAATAGGTTTCCCTCCTCCTGTCAAAATTTATGCAAAAGCAAAAAACGAATTCACTTGGCCTTTGGGGTTGATAAATAAGGAAATCAATGAATCATCTGAACATTTAATTCAAATTTTCAGAAAGTATTAATTCTCTATTTTCTAACTCTACTAAATTAAAATCCAAAACATTACATCATATAGGCATATTTTAATAGGAAACATCTATGAACCAGACTTGTCTTCAAAAGAATCTAAGCTAGGCTTTCCCTAAAGTGATTGTGTAGTTTCATGGTTTTTCAAACTCTAAAGCAAAAATCTCAAGTGGAATGTCAATATATATAAAAAGTAGTTCTGCATAACCCTAGAACTCAATTAAACATAGCTGAAGTATACTGTTACTGCTAGAGGCACTATGGAAACATGAACACAGCAGAGACTCTGGAGCCAAGCCCAGATCCTTTACTCTACATTTACAAGCTCTGCAACTTTCTTAGTGTTAATTTTCTCTTCTATAAAATGAGGATACTACCCACCCATTTTTGAGTACTGTTTTCAGAGTTTCAGATAATATACACAAAATCCCCAGCACAAAGTCTTGCACACAGTAGGTGTTCAATTTACTATGTCATAATCACCTCATGACTTGGCTAAGTCACCTATTTTAACTGAGCAATATGGTTAGTTAGGGAATAAAAAAATCCCAATGTTTCTTTAAAACATTCTCTGTGATTTCATTTAAGAGTAGGTATACTGCTGACAGGCAAAGGACAGAAATCAGCTATGTCTTAATAGGGTTCCACATATTCATTATGCATACAGAAGGGAGTCCTGCTTTAATATTTCAATCTGCTTCCTCAAGAAAAATTTATAGTCAGTTTACTAACAGAAATTCACAGTAGGAATCTTACAACCTGCCTACCTCTCTGAAGTGGGTGGATCAACACCAAGTAATAGGGCATAAAGCTATTTGATTCCAAGTGCCAACAGTAGGATTATGCAATTTCTTGGGAACATAAAAGTAAAGGGTGAAAACAAAGAAGGTAAGAGAAAGGATTAAGAATGTTGTACTAGCACCTGCCTGCCCCAGAATAAAGCAGTGGTGCCAATACCATAGATTGTTAGTCGTATGTTTGATGTGAAGTAGCATTACATATTCAACTTTCCTCTTATTCAGCACCCCACGATTAATCTTAATCATCCCTTGTGTATTTCTAAGAGGTTGCGTTTAGGATCAGAGAAACTCAGAGAGATCATCAGAATTGAAAGAAACCCTAGAGATCACTTGTCAACTTCCCTCATTTTATAGATTTGAAAAGTGGGGCCTCAAGATGGATAACTGAGTAACTGCTGAAAAGAAGAACACGAAGGAATTCAAAGACAGCTCACCTCTTATTTCTCTCTCTGCATTTTAACTTTCATAGTGAATTGCTAAGAACTGGTCCTCAAATAGCATCAAATGATGAACCATAAGCAATCCTTACATGCAATATTTCTTGTAAGACACAACATTATCCTAGCTAACTAGGACATAAATTATAAGACTACCATTAGGTGATGATATTTAAAAAGCAAATTTGTAATATTATTAGTATCTTGGTCAAAAAAACCCCACATTTGTCAACACTAGCAAAACCTCAGAGACTCTGATACGTAATTCTGCTTTAGGATGTAAAGCCACTCACAATGAAGAACAGACATTTTCAAGGTGGCTGGCAATGTTTGCCTAAAACATAGTCTCATCTGTCTAGGTGACTACAAAAGGAAACGATGATACCAGTCCAGTTCATAACATCCCTTTCTCTACTTTCATAATGCCTACAGTATCTGTTACCTACTTCATTGCTTCTCAACCTTTTTCAGGTTAGAATCCATCGGATAGATGTCAGCTACAAATATTTTCTCCAGGAAAAGGCACATACTTAATATACAAATTTTGCATCATACAATTTCAAGCCTAGTAATCTACACATGGGATCAAGAATTTCTGCTCCAGGATTCACTTCTTTTAGTATGTGCTACCTTGTATTGCTATTTATCCCCATCCATATGTGTCCTGGCTCGGTGAGATCAAAAGTTGCTTGAAGATGGAAATGGGTCCTATAATCCCTCTGCATAAACCCTAGGTGCATTTCTCAGGTCATGGTAGAGACTCAATAAGTGCTAATAATTAATTCTTAACAGAAGGTCACTTGTTCATTTTTTTTTGTCCACTATGGGCCAAGTGCTTGTGCAAGAAAATTAGGATTCAAAGAAACAAGAATCCCAACTTCAAAGAATTCAACCTAGTGAAAGACATAAGTAAACATATGGTTACAAAAATTAAAAAAAAAGTGGAGAGAAAACAGATGGGTAAAAGAGCACAGAGTAGGAACTGGTGGAAACCGGTGCTCTCAGATTTCCAGGTTTGCTGGGATGGTGGGTTAGGAGACTAGGAAGATAACATGAAAAGCTTCCTGAAAATTAAGCATGCTTGAGGTAAATCCAACCAAAAAAAAAAAAAACCCAAAACACAAAATGACAGAACAGAAGAGAGGCAAGAAAGAAAGAAAAGAAAGAAAGAAAGAAAAAGAAAGAAGAGCATGGAGTAGGGACATTTCCCTAAATTATTTCTTTTATTACTTCATCAAATACTACTCCTGAAATGCAGTGTAAATACTGCACACATACTACTGTTAACTCTATACTTGTAAAACACCCATATGAACACATTACAACAAATAAATTTGGCCATTCCATCAAGTTCTTTAAAGTGGACTTGATCTAATCCAACGTGATAAATTCACTCTGCTTAACTGTCCAAAGACAGAAGTCACAATTACCATGCTAATTCAATTGTATTAGCATATTCGTTCTTCTTATATACTGTAACAGTGGGATTTTCGTATTTTATATAGGTGACAAATAAATGTTACTTAAGTTTAAGTTCAAGTTATTTATTTATGGAAGACAGGTCTCAGTCCATATGTCATTTTTTTCCTCTAAACACAAAGGAAAAGTTCTGGATCCTACAAAAAGAATCAAGAGAACTAATCACTGCCAGATGGTATGAATCAAGTTAAACCTCACTTCCTTTGATGGACTGAACAGTAAACAGTTCCTTTTTGTTGGGTATTAAACAACTGATAATAGTACCACTAATTTTAATTATAGTCCGGCATACATAATTTTCAGTGAAAGAAAATTATTAACTATCTTATTATTGGAAATCACATAGGATAGGCTTTTAGGTAGCAAAAGTAACTTATTAGAGTAGAAAATAAAAGCAATTAGAGTTATTATCTCAAATCCTTTCAATAAGGCTGGGGAAAAGACAGCAATTTGTACTCTTTTTTGACACTTAACAACATGTTCAAAATTTTATAGTTTAGTAAGCCCTTACATTTTACTTTATCTTCACAACAGCTTTCTAAGGTTGGCAGATAGGTGAGTATGTTTATAGATGAGTAAACATTGCATGACAGAGGCTGTATGACTTACCCTAACTCACATGTTTTCTTAAGAGGTAGAACTGGGATTGGAAATTGATCTTCTGACTCACAGTCCAGTGCTCTTTCTTTTATGATGCTACTTTAAAAAAATCATCTAGCACAACTACACTTCCATGAATTATATCCTTTAAACTGCAGTGATTACTGGGCCTTTAGTCATCTACTTTATTCATGAAATGACCTATATCTGCATCTCCACAAGGGTTCACATTTTATTCTTGGTTTATACTGGCCAGTTCAGCACAAAACATGTTACCAATATTCTCAGTACGGTTTACATAATTGAATCCTCTCACCAAATTTCTTTCTATATTTCAGAGTTACAAACTAACGAAAGCAGAAGAGTTTTAATATGAGCTATCAAAGAATTACTCTTACGCACATTTTGTTATTTTGCCAAGTTTCATTCAATAGTAAAATATCAAACTACTCTATTTTCCGTACTGCCAACTTCTGAAAGGAGGAATTACAGTAACATGGAAATCCTGTAATAGTATCTCAGTGGTGAAAAACAATTTCATTCTTCAAAACGCAGCTTTGTACAGCTTGGTTCCTAACCTCGACCTCATTGTTTAAGTGGTAACGCAGTTGCAAGTAACGAATTTTTGTACCTTTAGGGAACTGTGAATTTCCTCATGTGCTAAATCAGATTAACAAGCACTTAACTTTCTTCGGAGGGCTGCTTATTAAGCACTTTAACTCATTACCAGTCACCTCTACTCTGAAAAAAGGAAGAACTTCCACAAAAACTATCTGCCCTTGTTATGTATTCAAAACCTATACCTCTGCACCAAACCTCTGGCAAACTCCTGACGTGTCTGTTTCTGCACGACTCTCCTTCGATTTCTAAGAAGTGGATACACTCATTGAAACCACAGGAGACAGCAGCCCTCAAATACGGAGGGCTTGCATTCGAGAATCTTATCAAATCAGTCCCCTGACTATTGCCAAAGCAGCCCCAAGTTCCCTGACTCTAGAACGGCTGCTGCTACCAAGAAAACATCAACAAAGCAAAACAAGCTACTGGCGCCTACCAATCGGCATCAGAGCCCTCACCCCTCCACAACTAGACCTAAACAGTCACTACCAGGCCGCTTCCAGGGCTCCGAGCATTGCCCTTCCCCTCTTCCCGAAGTCCTAGCAGCAGCTTTTCAGACAGTTAAGGATACTCTCCATATTCGACATGGTCTCACGACTTTTCCTGGGAGGCAGCAGCACAGATCTGATGGCAGGGCGTTCGGAGTACAGTTGTAGTCCCGAGCTGCTGCCAGCCTGGCTTGTAGGTCCGCAATCCCACTTCCGGTTTCTGCGCCGGGCAGGCCGGGGGGTGGAGCCGTCTACGCCCGAGGGGCGGGGCTGGGGCAACGCCAAAATGGCTGCCTCTCTGAGAGGTGGTTAGGGTGCGCGGTAGCCGCTTGGGGGCGTGTGGGATCGAGGTTACGCCCCTCCCCCTCCTGTCTTTAGCGTGTAAGCTAGCCTAACCCAGCGCCTAACGGTTTTCACCTCCCAACTAACCTTCCAGTTCTTTCTTTTGTCGTACTCCTCCCCCACCTCTTCCCTCAGATTTCACACTATCCTTGACCCCTCACTTCTGTTCTCAGAGATTAAGTCTTACGGATGAAGGAAAAAGGTATAGGGCTTTTAAAGTACTTTTAAAAAGTTATAATCATATGAAATAAGGGCCTGAGGGATTAGCGGGGTTGGTAATTTTGAGTTGTGAGGGTCAACTGAAGTTTTAAAAAGGTTTATGATCCTTAAAGTTTTAGGTTAGACGGGAAGGACAAAAAAAGTAAGCCTAAGTTTAAGAAGTGAAGTTGCTATGAAATATATATATTCGTAATAAATAGATTTTTTTATAATAGATGGTGTAAAATATGAAAATTATGAAGAAATCTATCATAGGCGAGAGTTTAATCGGAATTCTACACAGTGGTTAGCATTTATGTGTGACGTATTAAAATATCAAAAAGTAATTTATTAGATGCTACATCTCTAGATTTATGGGAAAGTAAGAAATCTTTGGCGTTGGTGTCGCAGCATTTTAATTCAAAAGTCTTGGAAATTCCAAAAAAGAGTTAAGAGGTTTCTCTTTGGGATTCTAAAAAAACTGGTGTACGTATATCCTTATTGAGGAATTTTATAAGTTTGACTTTAAATTTTTTCTTCACTATTTCAGTATGTGTGGAAAACAACAAGTAAATAATTGGCTAACCTTTTTATCTTCAGGATCATTTCTTGTTGAACCAAAATGGTTCTAAAAGCTACTGTTTTACTCTTTTGTGTTGATGATTGGTGGGCTTCAGACTGTCTCCTAATTATAAACCTTAATGCTGGAAAAACAAAACAAATCTTTTTAAGTATAAAGTTCTGGGAAAGAACAATCTGGAAACCACTTCCATAGTTCAAACTGTATAAAGATTATTTTTATTTTTTAATGTTTCTCTCTCTCTCCGTATATACGTATATGGATGAGATGCAAGGTTTACCTTTATGGCGATAAACAAAACTTGGCAAATATCGTCATTGTTTCAACACTTTCCATTCTAGATGAACAATTCTATTTCACTGTTCGAGACCTTTTTTTTTTTGGTATAAAGGTTAAAAATATGTTTTAAAAAGTTCTTACCTGGATGTTTAATATATATTAACACAGCTCTTTCAACAAATCCACATGTAGACCAGAACAATCCAATAAAGCATAAGCATTTCCAAGTTTATGTAAAGAATTTTTAGTTATATATAGGTAACCTATAGGAATAAGCCTTTTATAAAAAGTGTTTTTAAAGTGGTTTTTCATATTGAAGAACTTCTTAAGAGAGGGATATTAGGGTAGGATCAAGTTTTTAGTAAAATTAAGATCTGAAGATATTTGCTCAGTTAGGAAATTTGTTGTTGTCCATCTTAAGTAAAAAAAAAAAGCCTGTATCTTTGATTTACTAACCACTTAGAAGATTAAAAAATTGTTTTTATTTTTATGAGTTCTAAACTGATTTTGACTCCAGACCTTGCAGTCATGTTATTCCTTAGCTGTCTCATTTCTTAAAGTTAGATTTAGAAATTTTTTTGATCTTAGGCCCAGTAATAAAACTATTTAAAGTATATGCATATTCAGTTATAACTGCTGCTGTTGAAAATAAGGAATTGAAATCTGTTAAAATCATAAACTTGTTTTATTACAGAGAAAGTATATTGCAGAAAAAGAAAGACACCTTATTTTAATTGTTTTATTAAATATTGAATACTTATAAAAATATCTGTAAAACGTGAATACAGAATAAACAGAAGCAATACAACAAACTCCTGGGACTTATCACCCATTATGAGAAAAGAAATTTGCTGTTCCCTATAAATTCCCTTGTGGACTCCTTTCCTAATCACATTCCTTTCCTTCCCTCTTTAGAGGCAACTGCTGTTTTGAATTTATATATAATTTCCTTGTTTTAAAAATAGTTTTACCATAATATTTGCATCACTAAACAATATGGTCTTCAGTGTTGCATATTTTTAAACTTTGTTTAAATGAAATCATACTGCTTTTTCTTCTTCTTTGACTTGTTTTTGTAACTCATCATAATGTTTCTTGTTTGTGTTACATGGAACCATAGTTCATTCATTTTCACTGCTGTAGAGAATTCCACTGTATGAATATATCATAATTTATTCATCCTCTCTCCTGATGATGGCTATTTGGGTTGTTCCATGTTAATATAGCCTCTAAGAATATATTAGTGTTATATTAATACATACTCTAATTAAACTCTTAAGATCAATAATTTATTTTAATCTCCTAGACATGTTAGTATGAAATCTGGAAATGTTTAGTTTATTATAGTGATGATTAAGGTTAACCTTTTTAAAGCCACATGTAGTCTTTAAATATATAATTTTACTCTCTCACCCTAGGCACAATTATTCATTGTTTATTTTATTTATTCATATTTCTTATGGTTTTGGGTTATCTTAGATATTGGCTTTGTTTCTTCCACTCTACCAAACTTAGTAATACCTCCTACCCTCACTAACCTAAACAGGCAACTACCTTTTTCTTCTTTCACCCTTAGAACTGAGCCATAACATTAAAGATGTTAGGTATAGGACCTCCCAAACTGTTCTTTTGGGACTTAATTAACTCTAAGGTTTAATTGAACCAACATCAGCCACATACTGATGAACTCAGATATGGTAAAATTCACCTATGGAAACCTAGAAAGGTGTGTTTTAAAAGATCTTGAATTTTTACTAGGATAATTGAGATGTAAAGAACCAAACAGGACTCAGCAGCTATTGAATCTGTTCAACTTTGGCATGAATAAGGCTAATGTGGTAAATTATAATAGCTCCCTCAAGAAGTTGAGTATTTTCATGATTCTTCTTTAGTTTTCTAAGTATTTCGCAATCCATTGTATTATAAAGAACAAGCTTTGCTTTTTAAAGTTAAAAACATTTGTAAAAAAGTTGCAGTTGAAATCCAAATTACATAATTTTTAAAATTAATTTAGGTTGTTTTGTGACAACACAACATATTTGTTACGTTTTAGCAAATATTTCAAGATGATTAGAAAGTTAAATGGTACATGACAGGTAAACTTTCACTGAAGTAGAAAGCAAAGAGTACACCAGAAATGAGAATGGTGTAGTATTGACTAGTAGCGCTCAAACTTTAGTGTCCTTGTTAAAAATATAGGTGGGTGGGATTCACCTCTATAGATTCTGATAAAATAAATTTAAAACAGGGCCCAGAAGTCTATATTTTGCCTCTGTTTGTGTAATGGAAATAAACATTCTATTATAGAGTAATATAAATCCTATACTGACTAAAATAACTCAATTTGGATGGAACTTCATAGTTTAAAAATGCTTATTAAACATCATTTCATTTGATACTTATAGTAATCTGAGGCGAATTGGCAGGCATTATCATCTTCTTTTTGTCAATTAAAGAAAAAAAGAGAAACAAGCCTCAGAGAGAGTGTATGATTTACCCAAGCAAGTTTTGAACAAATGGAGTCTATTTTCAGTTCAAGACTCTTTGATTCCTAATCCAGTACTTTTGAATGCATATAGCAGATTGGCAAGAAGGAATCATAAATAAGACCACTTCTGCTTCTTGCTTTCTATAGCTCAGGTATCCATTTAGCATAAGAGTAAAATGAAGAATTATTCTGCCGGCTAGCAGTCTTTCTGGTTTCTACAAGAAAGCTAATCAGTTTCCTGGGAATCCTAGTCAGGTGTCAACCAAAGGTCTTTCCTGTTCATAATAGAAAAGCTTTTTCCCTAGGCATGCAAAGAACACCTTGCTAGTTTCATTGTTCTGCTATTTTTGATTGGATTTTTCAAAATTTCGTAGGCTAGAACACTTCAAGTGATAAGTGAAAGAGATTAAAGCTACAGATGAGGTAAAGCTCTTTTAGCAGAGGCAAATAGAAGATGAATCAGGAACAGAAGTTTAAAGACAAGAGGAATCGGTTTGAGTGGCTGCAAAGGGTGATCTGAAAAGTCATCCAGTTTAAAGTTAGGAAGTGAGAGATGAGCACAAGGAGACCAGATGAGAAGTGAATGTAAGATTCAGGTGAATAGAAAAATAACCAAAAAAAAGGCTTGGATAGTTAGGAAAAATATATCCACATATTTACCATTTCTATAAGTGATACTTTCTGAGATTTCATTGTTATTTTAATAATAAACGGTGATATGTGGTGATTGCAATATATAGTTGTCAGAAAGAGCATTTCTCTAGAAACCTTTAATTGTAACAGGGCACTCAAGACTTTAAAATTTCTCTCTGCCAGGAAACCTTTTTAAAACTTGAATAATCAAATGAAATTATATTTTGGTATATATAAACTGAGCTGAGTTAATTGATTCTTAAAGGGTTATGTGACAAAGAATAAAATCATTGGCTATTATTAGAGATACTTTCCACTTCAGATGATTCTAAAGTAGTTTTGAGGGTTGTATGATTCAGAAATTCTTTAATATAGGTATAAGTGTTTATAGAGAAACTAGTTTTTTTACTTTTCTTTTTTATTTAAGTATAGTTGATTTACAATATTATATTAGTTTCAGAATTACTACATAGTGATTCAACATTTTATAGAGTATATTCCATTTAAAGTTATCATAAAATATTAGATGTATTCCATGTTCTGTACAGTATATCCTTGTAGCTTATATATTTAATACATAGAAATTTGTACCTCTTAATCCCCTACCTCTATCTTGCCCCTCCCCCATCCCTCTCCTTACTGGTAACCACTAGTTTGTTCTCTATATCTGTGAGTCTTTTTATGTTTTGAAGTTTCCATTGTATATATATACCATATCTT